TGTGTGACAACCACAAAATCACTATCACACAGAGTAGGCGGGCAACGGGCTCAGGCGGACACATGCTCAGGGTCAGTACTTGAGTACAGGTGGACTGGATAACTGGAAGGATGACTTTAAGGAGAATGAAGAAGGCTGTTTACACGTTTTCACCAATCTCCCTCGTCCTCTGCACTATTGAATTTTCTTCTCTTCCTTCTCGATTTCATCAAGAAACCTTACACCTTTGTCGACCAATTTATACAGGACGATCCGAAGGAAACCATCACACCCCAACCCGAGATAGATAGGGGGCGAGGACTCCTAGGGTTGGTACAATAAGACACCCTAAATCATACGGGTCGCAGGAGCAAACGGTGGCGCTCANCCCTGCAAATAGGGAAGAACCAAAAATAAATGGTTCATGTGGGTGAATAGCAATGGCATACGCTATGCTGCCCTAAAAGACGGATACGTGTTTTTACACTACATCTGATGGTTAAAATACCATTTGAACCCTGAGCGCAATACAAACGCAGGGGTGTTCTCCCCGCCTAGCTAAGGTGTGTGCCGAGTAAGCTAAATCTCTCTTGACTGAGCGGTGCCCAGTTCCGAGGCTGATTCTTGTCCCTGCAACTCTTCTTTCACTCTTTCACTCTATTACAAATGATGATCAAGCAAGAATGATTCTTTGACTGCTGTTTGGGATCTGGGTTCCGTAAATACTCTTCTACCAACCTCTAACTGATCCGGCCTGAAAAACCAGCTCTCTTCCCCGCCGCATGAGAGACTTGAACCCTAGGTAGTGACCATTTGATACTTAATTGGACTACGCGTACCCTGTTCATGACATACCGTAAGTATAGTCAGCGTTAGCCAAGCACTCCGAGTTGTATTGTTGTTCTCGTTCTGGGACCAATAAAGATGTCTACCGGTATACAATAATAAATGCACAAGACTGCATCCTTGTATGGATGGTATGGATGTGTGTGAGTTTGAATATAATTCAACATATTCGTTGATGTAGGTACAAGCATGTCTGGTGGTATGCAGAATGTGACACTCAATCAGGGCGACGGTAATCAAGCGTAGGCTAAGGTGACTCGAGTCTGTCTTTTTCATGGTACATGCTCATTCCAGTCCTTTCCAGATAAACGTTCAAGTGGCCCCAACTGGGTTGTACTAAAGAAAATACCGCTAAGTGAGGCGAGAATCCCAAAAGCTGTCGAAGCGTATCGAGAACATTGGAGCTCGATTGCGCAAGAAACTGGACGCTTGTTTGGCATCAGCCGCTAGTCCTGTGATGTGACTTGACCCGACTTGTAGTGTAATGCGTTCACTTCTGTGGTTGTGCTGGCATATCTGCTATGCAAAACAACAGTATACATTCCTATATTTGCAATCTATCGATTAAAATATATATAAAGTTGCTCTTTATAATATTTTGCTTGACAAACGCACACAAATGTGATATAAGCTTACTCAATACGAGAAATTTGAATTACGCGCTAATTAAATAGTGATCTATTTGGACCATCATGGGGTCAGCGCAAAGAACTAAGTCGTCACTTCTAGGATTGCATATTATCCAGGGCCTCTTTGTTCTCTGTGATTTCATTTCGGATGTTCATCACCATTTTGTTTATCCACATTATCGTCGCATATATTAACCAATCAGATAGTTACACCCTGAGGTAGCACCGTTTTAAGGAGATCGATCGCATCGACAGTCACTCCTTTTCGATGGGTCGTTCCGGCGGTTCCTTTTTGGTATGTGCTGTAGGGATCTTAGGTAAGTTTCACTAGTTTTGTGTAACTATGCCCGACAGCCGTCCTAGCATGCGTTTTCGGTGATGCACCTTCGGGAGAAGGTTCGGTAAAGGTAGACAAATCCAACGATGGGTTGTCAACGGCCAAAGACACTCTCCATGAGTAAGTATTTCAGTAAGTATTTCCATAACGTTCTTTCGTTCGTAGAGAGTCTGAATCCATTTATGTTGAGGGGTTGAGTGCAAGTGATCTAAAAGCAATCAGAGAGTCTGCAGAGAAACGGGAATTCCAGGCAGAGGTGCTGCGCATGATGCAACTGATTATAAACTCCTTATACAAGAATAAAGAGGTAAGTGGTCATCTTATTTATGTTTTTCGCATTTATTAGATCTTCCTGAGGGAGTTAATATCAAATGCATCTGATGCCTTAGATAAAATCAGGATGCTTTCCTTGACAAATGAAGATGCACTTAAGGCTACAAACGAACTCGCCATTCGCATCAAGGTAAGCAGCTTTGTGCTCAAAACATCCCTGTAAAGGCTGACAAAGAAAGCCGCACACTTCATATTATCGACACTGGGATTGGCATGACGAAAGAGGAACTAGCCTCCCATTTGGGCACCATCGCCAAATCTGGCACATCTGAGTTCCGTACGAATGTCACTGATTCCAGCAACTCTGCAGAGGCAGCAGATCTTATTGGACAGTTTGGTGTTGGATTCTACTCCGCTTTTCTTGGTTAGTTATTTCGTTTTGATGCTCTTATGATTTTCAGTGAGCAAACGTGTAATGGTTATCTCAAAAAGTAATGATGACAAGCAACACATCTGGGAGTCGGATTCACAGTCATTCACATTAGCAGAAGATCCAAGGGGAAATACACTGAAGCGAGGAACTGAGATCATTCTCTATCTGTCAGATGAGGCTGACGATTACCTGCAGACAGAGCACTTGAAGGGATTAATAAAAAAATATAGCCAGTTCGTCAACTTCCCCATCTACCTTTGGTCCAGCCGAATAGAAAAAGTCCCAGAAGAATCCGCCACCACTACAGAAAGTGATTCAAAAGAAGAAGCCAGTGTAAGTATCTCACTTATTTCCATATTTGCATTTTTCAGGTGGAAGAGGAGAAAAAGTCCGAACCTAAGATGGTGGAGAAAACCGTTTGGGAATGGGTGCACATCAATAAGCAAAAGCCTATTTGGAAACGAAAGGCGGCAGATATTACTGAGGAGGAATATAAGAGCCTCTACCAGGCTTTGTCTGGTGATGAAGATGCTCCCTTGGGCAAATTGCATTTTACTGCTGAGGGAGACGTCACATTCACATCCGTCGTGTTCATTCCGAAGCGTGCCCAAGGTGACCTGTTCAACCCCAATTATAGTTACAAGGATCGGTTGAAGGTAGGTGTAAGTTTGAAGTCTCATTTTCCTTTTAGCTTCACGTACATCGTGTTTTCATCTCCGATGCAGCCGAGGATCTTATTCCCAAGTATCTCGGATTCGTGAGAGGGATTGTAGATAGCGATGATCTTCCCATCAATGTTTCACGTGAAACTCTTCAGCAGAATGAACTGGTCAAGCTTATCAAAAAGAAGCTTGTGCGTCGTATTATTGATGCCATTGCTAAACTGTCATCAGAGGATTATGAGGCATTCTGGAAAGAATACAGTGTGAATATCAAGTTGGGAATGCTAGAAGACAGTGCAAACAAGGTTCGGATATCTAAACTCTTGAGGTTCCGTACTTCTAAATCACCGGAGAAACCTATAAGTCTGTCTGACTATGTTGCTCGCATGAAGAAGGACCAAGCATCGATATACTACCTTTCTGGTGCTTCCATGAATGAAGTGTTGAAGTCACCGCTTGCGGAACGTTTGATTAAAAAGGGCATAGAGGTTATTTACATGATTGACCCCTTGGATGAGTACTTGGTTCAAAGCTTCAATGGGAGGCTAGTTCCTCTTTCGTCATGCCAATCCCAGTGTCGATAATATGAAGTGTGCGGCTTTCTTTGTCAGCCTTGATGCGAATGGCGAGTTCGTTTGTAGCCTTAAGTGCATCTTCATTTGTCAAGGAAAGCATCCTGATTTTATCTAAGGCATCAGATGCATTTGATATTAACTCCCTCAGGAAGATCTCTTTATTCTTGTATAAGGAGTTTATAATCAGTTGCATCATGCGCAGCACCTCTGCCTGGAATTCCCGTTTCTCTGCAGACTCTCTGATTGCTTTTAGATCACTTGCACTCAACCCCTCAACATAAATGGATTCAGACTCTTCATGGAGAGTGTCTTTGGCCGTTGACAACCCATCGTTGGATTTGTCTACCTTTACCGAACCTTCTCCCGAAGGTGCATCACCGAAAACGCATGCTAGGACGGCTAAGATCCCTACAGCACATACCAAAAAGGAACCGCCGGAACGACCCATCGAAAAGGAGTGACTGTCGATGCGATCGATCTCCTTAAAACGGTGCTACCTCAGGGTGTAGTCATCCTGTTTCAGCACTGCCGCGACAGAGAGGGAGGACTAATTACCTGCATGAGTCAGTGTTTGAGCAGACAAAAAGGGAATTATCGCACTGCTCTCAAGTAAACCTGGTTCTCTGGACACTTGTCATTTTTTTAAACAATATCTCTCCGGAAACAAAGTCAGTGTCCTAAATGGTAACCAGCCACATACTCCGATTTCAGAACTTCAAAGAATTAGAGAGTCAATCGAGAAATGGCAAGAACAGCTGAAAGCATTTTACTTCAAATGCCATTATTGATCATAGCTGATGCCTTAGATAAAATCAGGATGCTTTCCTTGACCGTTAACATTCAAAGCTGTGTCTGGTGTATCAGCCTAAGCACCCTGCACCGTCTCCGACGAAGTACCAAAAATATCCCATTTTCCTCGAAAACTTTACGTTTCATTGGGCTATACTGTATTAGCTGGCAGCTACTGTAGCATATCATAGGTAAATAAAGTATTTTCAAACAATATGGCGCAGTCTGGTTTGGGTGAAATCAAACTGCCTTTCTCTTTTTAATATCCTCTATGAGTTCTATGCAGTCTGGATTGAGATGCACGCCTTATTACTTTCGCAAAAGATGTAATCCAGCCTACTGCTGATATGTTGAATAAAAGAGTGGTCCACAATATGCAACTCATGCAACGACCTGCCATACTGATGCTGGGGGTTGATGCAAGTTTACCAGGTATACTTTTGTGCCTAAATGAATAAACCAAATCACGTAGGCAGTATTTTGAGTTCACAAGAATTTTTCCCGATAGAAGCCACTTGTGATTTTGCTCGAGGAAATATTTTTCTATCCCGGTGTATGCTGTTCAATAAGAGTTTACTCTGAACAGAGAATATTGAAATGCTCTCCAGAATGATGTGAATAAAATTTATCGAATTCTGTCATGTTAAAAGGTACAAGGGTAGCTTCTTAATCATCTTTGTTTCCCAGTTTATGACAGAGTGCACCACATACGGTTTCTCACATTGTTTTTTCGCATGGATGGAACCATTAACCTCCAACCTGGAGTGACCTTGATCTTCTTGATACATCTTTTGATTGATCATATCAAGCGACTCTGTATTTAGTGACCAATCCCCTTCATATGATGAATATTGACGGAAACTTCTCTTATGATCCGTGCGGTTAGAAACACAACGAGCTTGATGAGTTGCACAGGAATTTAGTCAATATTCACTTTTTTCTTTCGTTTCTAATGGCAAATCATGTTCCACCGATGTCTGTTTGTATCCTTAACCTCTCCAGCAAACCTGAAATGATCATTTGCAGCAAAAGGAAATTTCACCTTGTGGAATGGGTTTCAGAACAACATCGGTTCTGTTTGAATAAATTTATTCTAATTGAACCAGACTATTTCTCTACTTCCCTAAGATGAGCAGTGTCGATCAGTGAATCTCACCTTTTCAGCTATCCGTCTACTATAGTCATTGATTTATTTGACTGTTTTGAACATACATCAAATTTTGCTTCAAGTTTGAAAAGCATAGGATATACTACTGTTTTCAGCTACTACTCACTTGTGAATAGCAGGTAACGTAGTTGGCGATTTATTTCAACGATCAAAAATCAACAGAATCACNGGCAATTTACTGAGTCTCAAAGAATAACTATCGATTGCTACATTGATTACTCGTTGTGCGGCCAGGAACTGCGATTGTATTTTTCTGATAAGACTTTCTGTCAGGTATAACATATTACCGATGTCCCATCTGTTGTCCCCAATAAACGGCTATCCTCGACAAGTTCCGCCATCTAGAGTTAAACACTACTTTTATTTGGTATGGGTAAAATTTTGTTGAACGGACATTGCAACATCTTGCGGTTCTTCTTATGGAGCGGGACAATGGACTATTTAGCGGAGCTGTGAAATATATAAATATACTGTTGATTTTTTATCACTGATCCATAATCTTTCATAAGAAAATGACTCCTCTATTCCAGAGGAGGTACTTCGTTTTGAGTAACCCCATCTACTTTCTTACTCCATCGGTCCCATAGTTCCTTGGCATTAACACCCCCTCTGGGTGGACTGAGCTCTACAAAAAAATATCAGTGCGTATTGAAATAGGTCCCTATAATCACCACAGCATATGGATTAGTACTGCTTTGATTGTGACTATTCACACTGATGAATATGAAGTGACCACCGATCACGGAAATGAATACTGACTAACTTGTATATAGCACCGTACCGTACACATTCCGATCGTATGTCATTCTTCGACTCATTCATACCTTTTATTGTCCCACTTTTAGATTTATCCTACACATAGTCGTTGGCGACTTTAACCATACTAGTGCTATCCCACAAGAGATGATTCTATACTGGACAGAGTAATCATCAGCCAGCAAACCCTTTTTTCCTTAGCATTAAATGCATCTACTTCTTCCAGCGACCACTGTTTACTCATAGTTGGACCTAAAGTTTAGTCACACTGAGCATACAAATCTTTCTCTCAATCTGATCGCATCAGATTTCGTTTTCGTAACTTCTCACCTACAGGTGTTTCTCTCTTCAATGAATCTCTCAGACAGACCTCCCGAAGATTTTCACCATCTCCTTCTTCCCTATTCACATGTGTCCCCCTATTCGCCCAAACAATCAATGCCATTTTTACTTACTGCTGCTTTATTCAAAGCCTATATGTGTCCAACGGGAAGATAAACTCTCCCCTACTAAAGTCGCTTCGACAACAAAAGTAACGTGCGTACAATTCTCACAATGCTTCAACTGCTAGTTATTTGTCCAGGCTTATCAAAGTTGAAGTGAATAAATTGAACGCACTGTTCTCTGATCGAATTCTGAGGACTGGAGACAGAGAACACCTGTGGTAAGGTATATGACCTCTCTGTGGAAGGAAGAACGTACAGTCGAAGCCGATGTGGATGCTGATGATCTCAATGCAGCATTTCGGCGCCAGTCATCGGACATTATTCCTGTCTACTCGTCCTATGGTGTTTATAATGTGTAACCGTTCTCATATTGTGGTGTTTTAAAACTTTTATTGAGTGCAATTTTCCTTCTTCTACAGGCCCGGATGATTTCCCTCCAGCCCTTTTCAAGCATGTTGCTGTTTCCCTAGAGGGAGCAACCACCTCCATTGTAAATGAATCTCTAAACGGTTCTACTATTCCCGACTGTTGGAGGCCGGTCACAATTATACCAATCCGCAAATCATCCAAATCTTCTATCCTCTCCGAACGTTTTCATCTCATAGTGTTATTATCTTCAGCTCTTAAACTGACTCAAAAGACCATCCTCAAACGCCTTCAGCAGTCAAAGATCATTCCCAGTGATCTTTTACAGTTTGCTTACAAGTCTAATAAATCCACCTTGGACGCAGTGTCCACCTTCTTCATTTTATCACTAAATCTTTGAGCAACTCTTTTAAGTCTGTTTGGCATGTTTTTCTGAACACTCTTCAGCATTTGATTCCATTTCTCAATCTAAGTTGTTACAAAAACTGAAACCGTCTGAATGCTCCATGCAGTTGTTCGTTTGCCTATCTAACTATTTTACTGATAGGGTGCAAACCGCTAGATTGGGGAAGTCTTCATCTAAACCCCTAGTCAACAACTCTGGGGTTCTTTGAAAAGCTGTGTTATCCCCATACTTATTTTCCACTTATATTTTTGATATTCCCCGTATTTGTCCCGCACGAATTTTGAAATATGCAGATGACGTCGTGTTGTGCTAACCCATTTCTTCTCACTCCAATCTAAGCTCATTCTCCGACAATCTTGATCAACTTCAGCCATTGTCCTCCTCAACGGGGCTAGCCCTAAACCTCAGTAAATGTGTTGAGTGTTTATACAGTTTTACTCACTCTCCATATCCAACAGACCCCACAGTAATTAATGGCAATCCTTTATCGAGGGTGAACTCTGTCAGATATCTTGGTGTAACCATANAAGTTCTTTTACCGATAATCTCGATCAAATTCAGTCATTCTCCTCCTCATCGGGGCTAACCCTGAACCCCAGTTAATGTGTTGAGTGTTTATACAGTTTTGCTCGCTCTCCATATCCGACAGACCTCGCAGTGATTAATAGCAATCCTTCATTCAGGGAAATTCTGTCAAATATCTTGGTGTAACCATATATATCAATCTTCATTGGTCAACCCACATTCACAATTGCATTGGTAAACTGCGCCGCCTTTCATTTCAAATATGAAAGTTCAGACAGGTTTGAGCATCCCAGACAGTTATTTCAATCTTTGTTTATCAGTGTGTTTTCCCCATCTTAATCTACTGTTCCCCAGTTATTTTTCCTGGCTTACTCAAACAGGTTTTCAAAGTCTTACGCCGCTGTCCAACTATTATTAGCGATGTCTCTTCTATTACTGCGAATGAGTTAGCTTTAAAGCTTTCGGAGTATCATGTAAATTCCTACGTGAAATTTGTGTAGGGGATTCTAACAGATCCTGACCATCCATTGCACACAGAACTAACACGTTGTCT